CAGCACGAACGCCACTGACATCGATTAGCCGCCATTTCTTGCAAAGTCTCCAGCCAAGCACAGACGGGGTCACGGGGACCCCATCCTGGAAGGCGTACAACACCAAAAACATCAAAACTCTTCGTGATCTCTTTCACATCTTTGCGCCATCCTGAAGGAGGCACGGAGAACAACACTCGTCTCGGTAGACGGTGTTTCGGCATGCGTAGCACATGACCGAGCCATCGTACTCGACAGCAACACAAGAGATGATATGATGATTGCAACCGCCTGCAAGTAGGGAGCCCCCACGAAATGGGAAGCCAACGATGAACTAAGACTGTTTACTGCCGCCGCAACAACTCAGCAACACAAGACAATCGATGATGATTGCAACCGCCTGCAAGTAGGGAGCCCCCACGAAATGGGAAGCCAACGATGAACTAAGACTGTTTACTGCCGCACAACCGCAACAACTTGTCCGATGTTGATGAGGCACTGGAAGAGAAGGTGACTCAGTATTGACCTGTCACAAACAAACGAAGCTGGGCACAGCTCCAATCCACAATAAAACAAGTCCGAAAAACAGTGATTTTTCCAGAATAGTGGGCCACATCACCTGCGGCTGGAGTGTCCTGGTTGGCTGACCTTTTCTTAAAGGGAGGCCAATCGTACCTCACACGTTCGTACGTGATGATTCTGGTGCGCCCAGCGTGCACTGGCAGAGTGGGGGTAACAGGCTCGCTCCGGATGTCAGATGCCGGTCAAGGAAACGCACAGCTGATGGGTCTTGGAGATGGGTGAAACCGAGTGCTGGTTAATCCGAATGACTGTCTCAGAACAGTAGGTGGTCTATGCAGAAGCGAGTGATGTGAGCACCTTGTATCCTCCAGCATCTCCCTAGGCTTTCGAACGCAGGAAATTGGGAGCAAAAATATTTCATTTGTGCCGAGTGGTTGTCCCCATTATCGATCTATCACCCTTGAACAGATCTGCATCAAGCTTCAGCTGATACAACGAGTGTGAGGAAATTCATGGCTGGCCACGTGAAAAGTTTTCTCTGAATCTGAGTTTCAACTGAAACGATTGTGGCACGGACGTGCGCTGCCAAATAATGAGAAAGAAAAACAGAAACAACAGATGGAGAATGTGAACTCACCTGAGCAGATGAAAAGTTCTCCACATAACGTCGAACCTGGGTGCGCATAGCCGGTTCACGCCGAAACACATCCTCTAATCGTTCCGGTGGTAACTGGAGCAGGACCTGATAGCTTTGCGGTCGCGTCTTGACGCAGCACCGGATGAATCCGTCCCAAAGTTTCTCACTTTTCCACACCTATGGTTTAAAAATTTAAAAAAATGCAATCAACCGATGAGAAGTTGTCCAGTCAAACCTGCAACATACACAGAAATTAACAGTGATAGGAGAGGACGGGTTCGAAGTTCACTGCAGCTATGTACCAGTCAATTCGCTCAGAAAAGACTACCTACCCACCAGAACCCTTGAACCGTTCACCTATTTTGGATAGTACTAATTGGAAACGTTTCCCCAATTAAGCTCCTCACTTCTCTGTTGTAGGGATCTGAGAGGCGATCATTGACCACTAGTGAGGTCGGTTTTCGATGTTCCGCATTGGCGAGATACTGAGTTGGTTTGCGTGAATAAAGCTGTCACTCTATCTATTTCAAGACTGGTAATAAACGGCGACTCTGGAACGAACCTGCTTGCGAATCAGGCGAACCAGCACGTTGATTACGTAGCCGGCCAAGCGAGGATGTAACGCCAATGCTTGCATCACAGTCCGCATGAACAGGGTTGGCAAAGTTGGTTGTTCCAGAAGTTGTCCGATCGCTGCGGACAATCGCTCTTGCGTGAATAGACGACGTTCAGCAAAGCATACGCGGCAAGCGTGAAGAATGGCTTGCAAACTGATGTAGGGCTTGGAAGATTTCGCTGAAACAAAAGAGAGAACAGGTGAGGTTAGGTGAGATTCCGTTACACTTCGGACGCAAACCAACAAGTCGCACTGCTCAACGGCGCACAGCTGGCATGAAACCCGAAACGCAGGAGGTTGCCGAAGTCAGTGGTCGATCCGAACCAGAAACCCCATGTCAGAATTTATATAAGCTCTATCATAAACGGACATAGGTAATCAATAAACGATAACTTAACGCGATCGCGAAGCACGATATATACCGGGACTTTGCCCTTCATCGTTGTCGTCACAACGACTTGAAGGACTAGCTCTGCGACCCACAACGTTTCCTATCCACATATCTAAGAAAATGGACACTGCAAAGTAAACACAATTGAGCCGACTGTTCGTTCGTTCAGATGTAGCACCCTTTCGGTGCCTAACTGCCATGCTACACGAAGCAAGCACGTGGGCTGGGATACTGTCAGGTTGCCCAAGGGGAAGTCGACAGGCAGAGGTCAGGTTCGAACCACGGACCTTCCGGTCAGTAAATCCGAGCTCTAACCACTTCGGCCATCTCACCCCCGAGCCGTCTGTTGGGCAGTCTAGACTGGTGAACCAGTGAAAAACACTCGGTTGGCAGGACTAAACACTTCGAAAATTGAGCTCCGATTTCTACGCTTGCTCACGTGTGAGATTATCATCAACTGTTTCTGAATGCGGTGGAAACGATTTTAACGATGAGTATCACAGATGCAAGAGAAAACGTTCATCTAGAAACGTCCCCGTTCCGCTGTTTCCACGGGCCACTTCCCATAACCATACAACAAAAACAGCCCGTACCGTAGCCCGATACACACATCTCTTGAGATTCAGGTGTCGCCACGGGTGTCTGAAATTTGTAAACATGATCCGGGCCTTCAAAATTCGAATACTGACCTCATCTTTCACCCTAGAAGGGGAACGAACACAACTACGAAAGTATACAAATCACCCCACAACCCCCCTGCGCCTCTCTCTCTCTCTCTGTCTCGACTATAAATGACGTGTTCAGTGACTGCATGTCGAGGAGCATGATCTTACACGTTGTGGATACAAAACACACGCCAAATGACAAGATAACCTTGGCCAGTTCATCCAAAAACACCCGCAGATTCTTTTTCTTTTTCAAGACGAGAACGATGCATATTCCAGACCGACAGTGCTCCCATCAGCAACTATTTGAACGCCAGGACTAACAAGACCTTCTAGCATTCGTCCCATTCTATGACCGATCAAGAAATTAAACAGGCATGGAGAAGGTGGACATCAGTATCGGACACCGAGTTTTGTGCTCAAGATATAGTCCTGTACTCGCACAATTGTGAGAAAGCAAAGGATTTATCTTGACAGACTTTCGGAGCGACCCATGCCGGGTATGGGTGTTGTGAACAGACCGATCAACAGAGCCAAATACGTCCTGAAAATCCGGGAGTACTAAACTTGTGGGCTGCTTATACACCGGAGTTGATGTAGCGCCTGACGGAGTGTGAATATATTTGGCTAACGCAACCCCTACGAGGCCGAAATCCCGCTCACTCCTCCTGAGTTAATGGGTCACCAGAAAGCGACGGGGGAGAAATAACTCCAATTGGTGTCACTGCGATCCTTGAGCGTTTCGATTATAGACAGCATTCGGGGACGGATCAACCGAAGTGATCTTTGGGCGCCCCCACCCCATTGCTCGATTCTTCCATTTCCTTAGCTTCCCGTTTCCCCCAGGTTTCATGTTCGGCGCGCACGCTGAGTTTCACTTTACGTCTGGTAGTTCGTCGGGGTGGATTATCATCGGAATAGGTGGGAACATTTCCCTGAGTTTTAGTATCGGGGTGGATTATCATCGGAATAGGTGGGGACATTTCCCTGAGTCACTATTCTGTTTGATATCCAGCAGAACTGGTGGTGCTGTGCTGCAGGTGAAACTCCCGCCATTCTACAAGGATGCGGCCAGTGCGAATCGCCATCCAACAATGGTCCAGTTGAAAGAGTTCAGAAGATGTTTTAACTTCGGAATTCTCGAGCTTCTCTGTTGCTACGCGAGTTGCCCGAGAAGGGAAATAAAAAAACGACCCCGGTCGAATGCATTGTCAGAATCCCCAGGAGGGTTACAAAAGCAAGGACAGTCTACGATTGGCCCACGCCATTCACGATGCGACCATTTTGGGTGTGTGGCTGCCACGCTTTTGAAGGATACCATACAACCAGCTCAATAAAGTCTGCTGGAGCAGTCGTTTGCCATCGTTCAGTCCGAGCCGACACCCAAAATGAGTCTGGGATGGGCTAAGAATTCCCGCTTGTGCACTGGCAACCCAAACAATAGTTGAGCCTTTAACCCGCTGTAACAGGGCACTCAAGGCACAGGAAAGTTAATAAAGTCTGCTGGAGCAGTCGTTTGCCATCGTTCAGTCCGAGCCGACACCCAAAATGAGTCTGGGATGGGCTAAGAATTCCCGCTTGTGCACTGGCAACCCAAACAATAGTTGAGCCTTTAACCCGCTGTAACAGGGCACTCAAGGCACCAGGAAAGTTGCATTTTTATGGTGTCAGAGCTACAATCAGTTGGAACGTCAGAAGACAGTGTAAACAATGATCAAATTCCCTCACAGGTGTTGTCAAACGAAACGCACACAGGGAATTCGGTCAAGCACACCTTTCCGCCCGATGACTTAAAACAATGGGGACCCCTGTATAGCCTGCTTCGCCATAGATTCACAGCCGGGGGTGAGTGGAGAGTGACCTGGCGAGAAGAAACACACATAAAGTTCAATCGAATTCAAACAAGAGAATTCGAGTGTGAACCGGGCTTCAAGGCTTGGAGATCGGTTATGAGATGACTGAGGTTGTCAACGTCGGCTGACCGGCAAATGTAAGACGAATGAGGTCACCAGTCCTAACGGGTGTTAGGACTACAAGAACAGTATTATTAATGAAGTGAGAACAGGAGAAGAAAGGCGTCAGCAGTAGCCTGTTTTCGCCTGCTTGCCCTGCAGCACGTAGGGCGACCCCCTCCCCTATGACACTACGCGACGGCTAATTTGGCACGACAGTATTTTCAATCGTAGATTAACGGACTGGAATACTGTCAGGACACCCAGATCGCAACATGAGGACGATTAGGGTCATCAACCAAAAGATTTCGCTTAAAAGCATGGCAGTGGTGTTCTAAAGAGGTCACCATACACGTTCCGGCCACCAACCTGGAGAGTGTGTTGGCGAAGTCTCTACACGCTGACCAAATTGGCATGAAAGACTCTTGCAGTGCCTCAATGGGTCATGGAGGCAAGGTCCTCTTCGTGACGGCACATCAAACGTAGCCTTGGGTGTTCATGTAAGTTAGGGTAAGCATGTGATTACATCTTTAGGGGCGAGACAGACCAAGTGGTTAGAGCGCGAATTTACTGAAAGGAAGGTCCGTGGTTCGAACCCGACCTCTGCCTCTCAACTTTCCCTGGGCAATCTGACAGTATCCCAGCCCACGTGCTTGCTTCGTGCGGCATAGCAGCTAGGCACCGGAAAGGTGTTGCAGCGGAACGACCCTTCAGGGAACGCTTAGTAACTTGCCTCACGAAGTCCCACCGTGGCATAGCAGCTAGGCACCGAAAAGGTGTTGCAGCGGAACGATCCTTCAGGGAACGCTTAGTGGCTTGCCTCACGAACTCCCACCGTTGTTACAAAAATGTAGTAATGTGCAGTAAGATGCTTCGCTTACCGTCCGTGGCTGGCGCGGAAGGATCCTTGGCAAACTCCAACAAATGGATCGCCACGAGTATTTCTTCTGGTTTCAGGGGACCTAGAGGAGCTTCCGTATTCGGACTGGGGATGGAATCCTCGACGTTTCGGACACCGGGGACTGGTTGAGCATACTGGGTAGACACACTGGCTGTGAAAGGAAGGGACAAACAAGACAGAAATGCACTCAAAAGTCAGGCAACCGTAGGCGAAGTGGAAGAGGACCAGGGACGGTAAGTTAACGCCTCGGGAAAGTTTCGGAAATCAGCTATTTTACTACCATGACGAGTTGTCGGGTCTCTCAGCCTTATTCACTTTGCATCCGATGAGTCGACAAAATGTTACAAGCTCTCCTCATCTTGACATGATGGAGTCAAGGTGTGCTTGCAGTTTTGAAGAAAACGGGTCATCTTATATACCCTACAAAGGCGTAATGGTCTGCTTGGTAGTATAACCTGGCGGAAATTCCGCTGAAATGAGCCAAACCTTATAAAAATGGAAGTGACCAACAATTAACGAAAGAACTGAAATGAGCCAAACCTTATAAAAATGGAAGTTGACCAACAATAAACGAAAGAAACGGGAGGGTGCAAAGAATGCACGAATAAAAATCGACAAGTAAAATCCGATGGCGTGGAATAGTCGAGAACAGATTTGGGATGAAGGAACTAGAACGCCCCCGTACTTTAAAAACCTTTGTCCCACCATTCCAGCTAATGGACGGACTGGAGAGAAAGAAATCAACTGTATACAAACGTTCATAGAGCTGAACCACGTCTTGTGACAAAAATAGCTTAGACTAGTTTACTCTGGAATCAAAAAAGAAATTTTGGCCCCTATACCATGTCAAGGATGGCGCTCCCGCCTAGGAGGACAACTGAAAATATCGCTGAGTACGGTCAAGAATGACATGGAGAAGATCTGTTTCTACGTAGCTCTACCGAATGCGTCACTGGGACCGACACTGGACCGATCGAGATTTGTGAGGATCTGACAATCGATCGCCGCACCTGGGCGACGTGTACCCGAGATATTTCCGGAGCTGATCAATCCTGTCTCAGCGGGTGATCGTCGAAAGTAGTGAGTAGGGTTGAGCAAATTACGAAAGGCCCACTGTACTTCCTCACTGTAGATCCTACGCACCTAAATGTTAACGTGAAGTATACACATTGGAAAATCCAACCTTGCTGTATAGACTAGAACGCTACTTACCATGCAATAAACGAGCGAGCACCTCCTTCACCACCTTTTCACTCAACTGTACCAAACGTGGCAGCGCCAGGATCACATCCTGTTTCGGCAGACCCACGAGAACGGGGTTGGGGCACGTATGTCATNGAGACGGTAGACCCGGTCAACCAGACTCTTAGGAGGAATGATAACGGGTGGAGAGTTGCCAGTGATGGCAGACACTTGTGGAGCGGAGGAGATCGGCGTGGTCCCCTGTGTCGACGAAGCAGCGGACGATGCGACAGCAGCAGCGGCGGCGGCGGCTGTGGCTGTCGCCTGAGCAGCGGCCATAGCAGACGGTGAATCGGTGAGTAAGTGAAGCATTCGCGTTATGAGAGTCTCTGCACCGACTGGACACTGGTCAACCAGGTCATGCAAGTCAGCAGAATAGAGACCAATTTCACGGATCTTGAGGAAGAAGGAAAGTTACCAGGTAATAGAAATGGTCAGGAGCAAAGCTACAGAACGGTGGAATCGCAGCAGGTGAAACTAATCCCTGTAAACACTGGCTGGTCGCATCAAAAATGCCTGCATGCAACGAGATTTTCAAGGGAAGTGAGTGTCTTCTGTGTATCAACCGATTCGTACACTCTACTGAGACGATCCTTATTCGGGAACGACTACAGTATAAAAAGAATAACCAATACTACTCTATTTAAAAAAGACACCGATTGCTAGAGTGGAAAAATCGCGTTTTGATTTCATTCGTGCGTTTCTAACTGTATTCTCCCGATGTCTACAATCACTTATCATCATCACCATTATCATTATCATCATCATCATCATCATCATCATCGACATCACCATTATCATCGTCATCATCAAAGACAACATCGGTCTCTGATGTTAATCATCCGCCTCTGATTTACCGGTCACCGAACAGAATGTAAAAGGACCAGGCTAAGAGACAAGCGTTAGCCACCTGATGAAGTTGAATTAGAGAGCTATAGGCAAATACAGCATATTTTGTGACTTACGGGAGTATCGATCATGCGAAGCGTACAGCGTTTCACCTCTGGACTGGCACCCACGTAGACCTCAGCTAAGCTGTACGAAGGAACGTGGGAAACGTGGAGTCCAAGACGTGTGAGATGGTGAATATTTGGTCAAAAGGTCAGTTGAAGAACTTTGGGTTTTTATATCTTGGAGAAAATGTCATGATTAAGAAGCATATCGATTGGACACAGGACAAAAAAACTAGGGTTTGTCAGATAATGACCTATCGACTGTTTCGCTCGAGTCTGGCGGTGTCTCAGTACTCACAATCCCGACGAGATTTATGGCACGGTTACAACGTCGAAAAAGCAAACAAATGTTGGCATATCGGATGATTTGTCGCATTTCGGAGGGCCCAACAACTTACCGCTTAGTATCTACCCGCACAGCCAACCAGACTAGACACGAGTGGGGAGAACACCATAAATCAAATTGTGTTCCACCACCTTACTCAAGATTCGAAGCTGGGAAAAATTCACAGATGGTCCCTCCATTAAGACGCAAAGCAGAGGAGGTAAGCGTCTCGTCGCACGTGTCTTTAAGAACCGGCTGAACAAATCGAATTAAACGCCTTTTCATGATTTCATTATCATAACCCCTCCAATCCTCGCATCCTAAGATCGGTCTCACTGATTTTCAGTAGTTCAGTAAAGACCTGTGACTACTCACGTTTTTTATACGAACAAGAGAAATGTCTATTTGTTCATACAGTCATAGAACTGAGCTGCAATCGATCCATTTATTATACCAACGAACAAGTCGACGTGTTCGTGATGTTATCACCAAGTCAGTCCATTTCTGGAAGCCTCTTGGTTCACCGTAAGACACATACATCACAAGAGCATGCCCGTTAGGCCCACTAACCGGCGCAAGTGATCTGCGTCAGACGAAAAAATAGACCGCCGTGTCCCCAAACATATCATCGTAGCTGGATTATGTAACCTGACTGAGGAAGGGGGCCAGATGGTTCAAGTGGTAAGAGCGCGAATTTACTGAAAGGAAGGTCCGTGGTTCGAACCCGACCTCTGCCTCTAGGTTTCCCTTGTCTAGGCTTTGGCAACCTGACAGTATCCCAGCCCTCGTGCTTCCTTCGTGTGGCATGGCAGCTAGGCACCGAAAGGGTGCTACAGCTGAACGACTGAGGAAATCAAATAGTCATTGGAAGGGAGTGTGGCAGAACAGGAATTCCACAGTCCCTATTGAGGTTTACGTCTCGTCCAGCAACCTATGAGCATTCTGCTCTGAATAAAAAGGGAGAAACGCAATATCGTTTAAAAGGAGTTTGGTAAACAATTGGTAGTGTTTAATCGGGCGATTTTTGGTTTTTGACACAGAAGTTTCATCAGGCCGAGAGAGCAGACCCTCAAAGTTAGCCAGGCTTTAAGGTAGACAGGGAACCAATCAGTAAGGCGAGATGACTAACTGGTTAAAGCGGGAATTTTCTGAGCGGAAGATCCGTGGTTTGAACCCGACCACTGCATCTCGACTTGTTCAATATAGGCTTGAGAAACCTGGCAGTATCCCAGCCCTCGTGCTTTCTTAGGACGGCATGGCAGCTAGGCACTGAAAGGGTGTTACAGCTGCACGAATATCGATTTATCTCACATCTTCAGATGATCACACTAGATGAGGGTTGAATGTCAGTTAGAGTTCTTGTCAGTTAGTGTGGTTGCCTAAATCTTACGGTTGATCGGCTGAGGGAATTTCAAATTATTTTTTATCGAGTTTGATTCCCAACTATTCCACTTCAAGGTGTTTTAACTGAGGATTTACCTTGGATGCCACTGGCAGATTTCGTTGGTCTTTGTGGGCTTGTGAATGCTCGCCAACACACGTCAGCTCGACTGATCTAACACCACTCTCACACGCTTGTAAGTTCTACGCCTTCTATTCTGTTTACACTGAGATGCATGACCATCAGTTTCTGTGGCGTGAATCGTAGTTCCGGCCATTAAACCTCAACATTTTCCAACTCTATTTTGTGTCCCGTGCCCAGTGCATGTTCCGCCATTGTTGAGTATTTCAGTAGCGTTCATATTGATCTGCGTTTCTCGGTTTGAAGTTCTCTAGCCATTTGTCATATACAGACCTTAGTGCAGTCGTTGTACTTAGTCCTGTAGACACAGTCCCTGTTTCTGTTTGCTGGGAGGCGATCCTTCAACTGCACCAGCATAGAGCTCAGTGTTTCCCTTCTGGAAAGCTACGCTTATGTTAGCCGTGGTTAGAATGCTACGAGTGACTTCGGATGGCCATGTTTAATAAGGAATAACAGCAGTTCCAATCCATTCCTTGATGCGTTACACTACCGGTGCCAACGCCCTTCGTGATTGACACCTAACCAAACTAGCTGGATATCCACTACCACAAAGTTTGTTCTTTACTTCAATGTGGGTCACTGTGCGATCAACTTCTTCTGTGAACAGGGCCCTTACACGGTTAAACATTGACTGGAAAAAACCCACTAGTTGCATGATTCTCGTATCTGATAAATCGTCGCTCGAGGCGCCAGTCACACCGGACCAGGTGACATGAACTGTGCGATTAAAGGACGAGTGGCATCATAATCCGTCAGAATGTAGTTACATCATTTCGAGGATCGACTAACTAATAATAACTGAATATTCGTAAGATCTGCACTTACGATGAGTCCCAATAAGGACGAAATAGGTGAACAGTGCTTTTCAGATTTCCAGCAAGGACTGAGGAAATTCGCACAGCCCCCCCCCCCCCGCCGCGCACGCCGGCGGCGGGGCGGGCCGGGG